ACCGTGGTACAAGGAACCGGACCATAAAAGAATGTTACAATCTAATGTAAAAAAAATATTGTTTACCAGAAGACAAAAGATGCCCACCCATAACTACAATGGAATCTTTTAATTTTTTTAAAATAGATAAGAGGAAAAGGGTACAATTAAATGTTTTGTAGAAAAAATGTGTATTTCTTAGTGCTTAAGGGGTCCTCCCCTTTTTACACAAATGGACTCACCCAGTATATACATATACTACTGCTACATGAAGATCCGAAGAAGGAAGACAGGAAGGGGGGGAGTGAAAAGGTTGTAGGTAACCGACAGAAGATGAAGGTAACAGACAGACAGAACGAACGTAGCCAGCAAGAGTCACCGTGAGCGGAGGACGTAGACTCAGTAAGAAGTTATACAGCGATACTTCAATACCAAAGACTGTATAGATATTTTGCTATTAACCCATATCCCTGGAACTACTAACCTGCATTACCAGTCTGTATTATTACGTTAATACATTATTTTCCTATATTCATTCTTGGCGTTTGTCATTTATTGGTACCGGATTTCATCCCGGAATCCACAACACTTAATAATTACAGGGTACATATAGTCGGCACCCGCTCGCATTTGATTATTAATATTAATATTAATAATAATAATATAAATAACAATAATAATAAATTATTCCAATGTCTTGTAGTAATTATCTGAACGCGACTGTTTCGGACTGCCTCTGACTCGACTGACTGACTCGCTCTGACTGACTGACAGACTCCTGACGGACTTCACTCCAATTATTATAAATCACAAAAATGTGACATATGTGGACATCAATAATTCCAGTTGTAGTTGGATCACTCGGACTGATTGGAAAAAGCCCGATAGAATCATTGAAGGGATTCCTGGTAACCCATGCCTTAAAAAAATACAAAAAATTGAACTCACAAGTACAGCTAACACATTACGAAGGCTTTATCCATATAAATAATAATAACAATAATAATAATAATAATAATGATAATAATCTACTGCAGCGGCAAAGAAGCTAAAAAAGAAAGCAAAAGAAAATGCATTGTAGCAACTGCAGAAACGATGGTAAGATAAGCCTCTTCATGGTCAATACTCTGCCAGTACCAAAGAAGCTGATGTAGGCAACCCTCCCCACCCATCAGGAACTACTACGTGTTGCAGGGTTAAAACCTACTACGTGTTGCAGGGTTAAAACCTGAAACCAAAGGATTTATTCTTGCTGCACAGGACCAATGCTTGCTAACTAGAAATTACCATATATGCTTCCAGATTCATATTCTTGTAAAATCTGAAAATTATAAATACTTTCACGAATGAATTCGACATGCATCAGCGGAATCGTTATTATAAATGCTTCAGCCTAATTTTGGCGGGATGAAAATGTTACTATCCTGGCGCGCTGGGTATAAAAAATATTATTTGACAGAAGACAAAAGATGTCCATCCACAACTACAATGCAATCTTTTAATTTTTTTTTAAAATAGATAAGGGGAAACTGGTACAATTCAATTTTTTGTGGAAAAAAATGTGTATTTCTTAGTAATTACAGGGTACATATAGTCGGCACCCGCTCGCATCTGATTATTGTGATCGTCATCTTCCTTATTCCATTTCTACAGCTGGTAGCGGTGGAAGTTATCTTTTTATTTTATTCTACCATTGTTCTGTCATGCATTTTTTTTTTTTTTTACATATAACCATTTCAACTGTAAAATGATGAGACCTCTCCGCCAATCTAGTACTGTGCTTGCATTCATAAAGTCTAGGTACCATAGAGGAATGTTCATCAGAACAATTACCATGAAAGTATTTATAGAAAAAGCACAAGGGAAAAAATTTGGAGGTGGGGAGATAATAATAATAACAATAATAATAATAATAATAATAAAATATAAAAATAATAATAATAAAATGTGGCATATGGGAACATCAACAATCCCTGTTATAGTTGGAGCCCTATGATTGGTTGAAAAAGATTGGAGTAGACTAATTGAAGGGATTCCTGGAAGTCCATGCCTCAAAGAGATACAAAAAATAGTTCTGACAAGTACAGCCCACACTTTACGAAGGGCTTTATCTATGTAATTTTTTTTTTTTTTTTTTTTGGAAAGTGTCATGATGCCATTTCTAACCTTAGGTCCCTGAGCGGGACCCGGAAATAAATGTGTAAACGCCAGAAATCAAAGAAAATAATAATAATAAAGGTTTCTTAATATATATCTTACTAATTAACTGTGATGGGGTCCTCCCCTTTTTCATATAAGTGGACTCGACCAAAGTGTTACTTGGACTGCTGCCGTTAAATACCCAGAGTCAGAATACAGAGAGTGAGTGGAGATAGTAGAAGACTGAGATTGTGATTGAGTTGGAGGTAGAGTAATAGTGGGAGTTAACCGCTTGTAAAAGTCAGTTACAAGCACGTAGACTCTAAGAAAGTCCTACTTCGAGACTGTCTATATCTATATATTATTGCTACTAACCGCGTTTCTTGATTTACTAACAGTATTACCCATTGTACTATTGTGTAAATACATTTAATTTCTTATATTTAATTCCTGCGTTTGTCATTATTGGAGACCGAATTTCATCACGGAATCCACAACATTAACCCATAGTTGGTGGGAGAAAAGGTGAATTCATACCTTTCCCGAGGGTATTTGCACGTAAATGAATATAAAGAACCCAATTGATACATTACAATCTGCTGGGACTGCCATTTCAATAAGAAAGAAAGCACATTCCGTTTTTGTGGTCTTTGATCACGATGTCTGGGTGTTTAGCTTTGATTGTTATGTCCGTATGGATTGTAAAGTCTCACAAAATTGTTACAGGTTCTATCTCTGTAACTGGGCGTGTGTGATGTTGTAACCGGGTCTGGTTAATGTTCATACAAGTTTTTAACAGTAAAGTAAAAATTGCGTATTTTCCACTACAGATATTGGTCCACTCTATCATGCCAAGTTTTATATTCAGTGGATGCAAACACCGTGGAACTTAATACAAGATGCTCAATTATTCCTGCATATTTCGTGTTTGTTTTTTTTTCTAAAAATTGAAAATTGTCAATTTCAAATCTTCTCATTTGTACCCACTTCTTAAGCATTCATATTTATGACTGTTATTGCAATATAATATTGTCGTAGAACTCACCATGAGGTTATTCAATCATTAACTGAAGAATTAAGATTCATCCGAAAATCCAAATAGGAAAACCGTGAAATTATCACGGGTCTTTCTAGTTTTATTAAACTTGTTAAGCTCAAATATTTAAAAATGCGATAGTGGAATTTCTACGGATAATTTATTGTCGTAGAACTCGCCATGAGCTTATTCAATCATTAGGCACAGAATTAAGATTCATCCGAAAATCCAAATAAGAAAACTGAAATTTTCACGAGTTTCTAGTTCATTTTTAATTTTGCTAGTAATTTTCTTTTATCTTAAAATTTTGGGCGGTTTGTTAACTTTATGAATAAATGTGTACAATTAAGAATAACTTTGAAGCAACAGAAATGTTGTTCTACAGAAGGATGCTGAGGATACTATGGACAGACCGAATATATGAGCCACGACGAAATTTTAGAGAAAATGGAAACAAAAATGAAACTTATATTTAACATCAGGAGAAGACAGTTGAAATTTCTATGAAACATAATGAGGAAAGAGGGCTTCAAAATTTGATACTCACAAGACCGATCAAAGGTAAGAGAGACAAAGAAAACAACGCATAACCTACTTAGTGAGTTTGAGTAAATGGATGGCAGAACAGGTTTTAGGTGAGATAACAAGAACGCAATATCTATTAAGAGCTGCAAAGGACGGGAAATTGTGGAGAGCCATGACTGCCTATGTCCTGAGGACATAAATAAGAGTAAAATGCTTCATATTTTGAATAAAATAAGGATGTTGCTGCTGTAGTTCTTTACAGGTTGTCATTTATAAGAAAACATCTTAAATCTTGAAAGTTTAACTAGTGCATCTTTGATCGAAATATACTGTACATGTGTGCGCGCGCGTGTGTGTGTGGGAGACAAGAGGGGGATAAAATATGTGTGTGCGCGCTCATACTTCTGTTTTGAACAAGGCCACGGTGAAAATTGAACTTACAAACAATGGTTGGTAAGATCAGAGTGCTAATCATCGTATTATCTTGAGTGCTGTGTACACGAACGCAATTATATACGTAGACGTCTGTCTCAGAAGGCAAATCGTTGGTCGCCTTATCGTAGCCAAGAAATATATAGCAAAACCTTGGTGGCTCGGCAGTTCAGATATAAATAGCGAGCAACAAGCAACAATGAAGATAAGAAGTGAATTATAATAGTTACATAAGCGACATCTGCCAGGTTTGAAAGACAAGAAACTTTTTATTCGATGAGTCAACTTCTTCTTCTTCTTCTTCTTCTTCTTCTTCTTCTTCTTCTTCTTCTTCTTCTTCGAAAAGAACCTTCTCTTTCCTTTTTCAAGGCATGAACATCCGGTTTTGAAAAGAGGTCAACCAAAAGTTTTAAAATTTTACTAATTACAACATCAACCTTTAAACAAATTTAATTCAGTTTATTTTGAAAGAGGAAAAAAGAGCAAAAAAAGACAGAAAGAAAGAAAGAAAGAAAGAAAGAAAGAGTAAAAGAAAGAAAAAAAGAAAGAAAGAAAAAAAGAAAGAAAGAAAGAAAAGGAAAAGAAAGAAAGAAAAGGAAAAGAAAGAAAGAAAAAAGAAAAGAAAGAAAGGAAAAAAGGAAGGAAAAAGAAAGAAAGAACAAAATAAAGAAAAGAAAAAGAAAGAAAAGAAAAACGAAATAAAGAAAAAGAACGAAATGAAGAAAAAAGAAAGAAAAGAAAGAAAGAAAGAAAAAAGAAAGAAAGAAAAGAACGAAAGAAAGAAAGAAAGAAAGAAAGAAAGAAAGAAAGAAAGTTAATATTCCTTAAATACTGAGGAATTTTACTTCTAATTTAGTAATTTATGCTTATCTTCATAATGAAATATTAAGATCCCATACGGTCACTGCAGTTAAGCAACAGCGAGTCTGGTCAGTACCTAGATGGGTAACCATTTGGGAATACCAGGTGCTGTAAGCGTGGATGTGCGAGTGATATATAGGGCTTACAGCCATATCACGTTGAAACACCGATTCTAGTACGAGCACTGAAGTTAAGCAACATCGATGCTGGTCAGTACCTCGATGGGTGACCGCTTGAAAATACCACTTGTTTCAAGCTGGGGTGTGCGGCCGAGTTCCAATTCCCGTTGCCTTCTATATATTCACTTACGCGCAAATAAACTTGGTAAAGGCATGAAACCACTTCTACCCCAACTATGGGTTATATAGTAAGACTGTTATCATTAAAACTATTGTTATCTCCAAAAAATAAAATTACAAAATATTTAAATTTCAACATTCTTCTTCTTTTGTGTGCCGTGTCTCTTCAGTACGCAGGCGAACATGGTCCTCCACATTTTCCTGCCTCTTTTATCTCTTCTTGTTTTCTTGTTATTTCTTCCAAACCCTATTCTGCCAAACATTTTATCAAGCCCATCAAGTAAGTTACGTGCTCTTTACATCATTCGGACTATTGTCCTCATCTTTGTCGCCATATTTATTACAACGTTTCAGCCGTTGTACGCTCCGACCTTCTTCAGTATCTGTTTATATTTCTAAGATGAGGTATTATGTACACTATTTACATTATTCGGACTATTGTCCTCATCTTTGTCGCCATATTTATTACAGCGTTTCGGCCTTTCAGTATCTGTCTATATTTCTGAGATGAGGTATTATGTATACTATTTACATTATTCGGACTATTGTCCTCATCTTTGTCGCCATATTTATTACAACGTTTCGGCTTTTCAGTATCTGTCTATATTTCTGAGATGAGGTATTATGTACACAATTTACATTATTCGGACTATTGTCCTCATCTTTGTCGCCATATTTATTACAGCGTTTCGGCTGTTGTACGCTCTGGCTTTCTTCAGGTGGCTGGAATGTCGAACTGAACCCTTTATTTCGATCACTGGGGTAGACTGTTCTAGTTCCACGTGCCATGTTTTTAATGGATGTCAGTTATCAGTTATCTCCTGTTAACTCTCCAACCAACCTGTTATGGGACCTTACCCATAATAAGATAATGGACTATTCCATACGTAATAAATACTGCGCCTCAAGAGGAAGCAGGGAGTTCAGTCTGAAGTCTGGAGTGAGGTCCGTCAGAAGTCCGTCAGGAATCTGTCAGTCAATCAGAGCGAGCGAGTCAGTCAGTCGAGTCAGAGGCAGTCCGAAACAGAGTCGGGTTCAGACAATTACTACTAAACCTGATTGTTCGTACTTTCTACTTCTCTGTATATATTCCTGTTTGTAATATGTCTGTGTTATTCCATATCCGTGTTCGAGTTCTTCTTTATTGGTTCTACCTTGGGCTATCACCGTGGTACAAGGAACCGGACCATAACACAACCTTTATCCACTGTGCCATGTATGGCACAGTGGATAAAGGCGTTGGTTAGATCCAGTAACAGGACCCAAAAGAGTTGTGAGTTCAATACACGGTTAAGGCAGTGGAGAACTTGGAGAGGGGAATTAACAGGAGATAACTCTGCTGTATTCTATTAATGTGAAGCCAAGATGCCAGGTCAAGACCAATAACATTGCATCTAAATATATAGCAAGTGCAGTAAACCAGATATGGTTTAAATCGTCTTTGTCTTACTCTGCTATACATATGAGGGGCGATGTTATAACACGTGGCATTTTTTGCTCTCAGACAGATGCACCTCACCTGCTGTGGTCCAATACCGAAATGGCCAGTGGTTCAGTTTGCCTGATGGAGTGAACCCCCCTACATCAAATAAAAATGCAATAAAGAAACAAACACAGACAACTGTTTTAGTAATAAAAAAGGAATAAGAACTTTATAAAGTCATCTGCACACCATCAGTTACTCAAGTCCAATGTGAAAGGACATTTTCAAAGCTAAAAATCATAAAGACGAGGTGTAACGGTCGTGCTAACTAAGAGAGAGCGAATCAAAATTATATTTATATGTAGGTAAAATTACATTGAACAAATAATTATCCTAATGTTCTTTTGTCATAAATTATGATAATTCCATGTCAATTATCGTTTCGTTTAAGTTTAAACCGTCTTTGCCTTACTCTGCTATACATACGAGGGGCGATGTTATAAGACGTGGCATCTTTTGCTCTCAGACAGATGCACCTCACCTGCTGTGGACCAATGCCAAAATGCTCAGTGGTTTAGCTTGCCTGATGGCAAATGATCCTCTGATGAAGCGGGACCCCGATTTGAACAATCATTGACTGAACACAAATGATTGCTCTTAATATAGTAGACTGCATGCAATGCTCTGCTGTATTCTATTAATGTGAAGCCAAGATGCCAGGTCAAGACCAATAACTTTGCATCTAAATATATAGCAAGAGCAGTAAACTAAATATGGTTTAAATCGTCTTTGTCTTACTCTGCTATACATATGAGGGGCGATGTTATAAGACGTGGCATTTTTTGCTTTCAGACAGATGCACCTCACCTGTTGTGGACCAATGCCAAAATGGCTACTGGTTCAGCTTGCCTAATGGCAAGTGCGCCTCTGATGAAGCAGGACCCTGATGGAGTGAACCCCTTATATCAAATAAAAATGAAATAAAGAAAACAAAAACACACAACTGTTTTAGTAATAAAAAAGGAAAAAGAATTTTATAAAGTCATCTACAGACGTTCATTACTCTCAAGTCCAATGTGAGAAACCATTTTCAAAGCTAAAGATCAGAAAGACAAGACGTAATGGCCGTGATAAGTAAGGGTGATACAGAAAAATTGTAACTGATCGATGCAGTTTTTCTCTCTTCGCTAAGGCTACCGCTCTACTTTCAACTATCCATTAACACAAGCACGTCAGGTAGGCGGATCGCTGTCTTCCCCTATCAGTTGCCTGTAATGTGCCCTGTGAGGGTTAAGTTTTCCAAGCCCTCCTTTCTCTTTGTGGAATTTCAGCTGTCTTTTCCTGATTCTCTTCATTTGTGTGGAGATTGTCCAGCATTTACTACCATATAAGGGAATGTAAATTACATATCAATCTAGAACTATTTTCGTTGCTTCTAATGAAATTGATTTTCTCAGCACATTGTTTAAATCTTTGAATGTCTCTTTCGCTAGTACAATGCCTGTCCGGATTTAGGTGTCATATTTTCCGTCCTCTGGTAAGACACTTCCCAGATATTTATTCTTTTATGCGCCGTGCCCCTTCAGGACGTAGGCGATCATCGCTCTCCACCCCCACCCTTGTAGCTCTCAATGGTTTGGCCCTTTGTTACTTCGCCCCAAACTCTGTTCTGTCACCCACTTAAGCCCGTGAGGTATGTCACGCTTTGATTTCCCTTGCCTCTCTTTCCCTTTATCCGCCCTGTGAGTATCAGATTCTCGAAGCCCTTATTTCTCATTATGTGTCCTGCTGTCTCTTCCTGATGTTAAGTATAAGCTTCCTCCTTGTTTGCACCCTGCCCAAAACCTCGTCGTTGCTCATATGTTCGGTAAATGTTTTCCTTGGCATCCTTCTTTGGAACCTGACCACTGTTGCCTCGGGTTTGTTCTTCATCTTTCACGAGACCGTCCGACATTTGCTGCCGTAAAGGAGGGCAGATATCACGTGGCTTTTCAGTACTCTTTGTTGCCATCGAAATCCTCCTGTCTCGTAATACTCTGCCTGGCTTTTGGAATGCGTCTTTGGCCATCCCAATACGTCTTCGGATCTCAACGTCTCACTTACCGTCCTCTGTCAGAACACTTTCCAGATATTTAAATTTCCGCTTCATTTTAGTGTCCCGACTTGTAAATCGCATTTCGAGCTCATATTTTTTACGGATGGCCTTGCATTCTGTCTTTTTGTAATTTATGCTTAGTCCCTTCTTCTCGCTCTCCCGCGCTATATTCTGTAAGACGTTTTGTAATTTCCTTTCCGTGTTTGCTATCAGCACTGTCATCTGCATATCTTATACCGTTAAGATTGTGGCCGCCAATAATAAATCTTGGTAGGATTTCCAGTTCTCTCAGAATTGCCTCACTGTATAGGTTGAATAAGGTTCCATGTGAACGGAAAACGCCCGAGTGCATTTGCGCTGTCTCGGTCGTTCCGACAGGGTTGGCCGCTGTCGCCCTTACTTTACGCTTTGGCGTTGGAGCCCCTCCTTCGCCGGCTGTGGGACAGGGCGTGAAGTTTAGCCCTACGCGGAATCGCTGTTTTCACGGGTAGAACTCGAGCCAGGGTTTCTGCATACGCCGATGACGTATTCACTTTCGTGTCGTGCCGTCGCGACATTAAGGTGGTACAGAAAGCACTTGAACGGTACGAGGTGACAGGGGCCAAGATTAACCGTAATAAGTCTTCCGGATTGCGGCTAGGTACCTGGAAGGAGGTCTTTCTTCCGGGGACCTTTGGTTGGACTGATGGACCCGTCCGCATTCTTGGAGTGTGGTTCGGGCCCGGATTCCAGCTGAAGAAGAATAGGTCAGAAGTAGAGGCAAAGGTCGTAACGTCGGTCCGGACCTGGCTCTGAAGGAGGTTTTCCTTAAAGAGTAGGGCTAAGGCGAGTGCCACTTACGTCTTGCTCCTCATTCTTTGTCTGTACTTCCTCTTTGCAGGATCCGAAGGGAGGCGATCGAGTGTTTGTTGACAGACCTCTCGTTGGGTGGGTGAAAACACTGTGTCTGGGAAGAAGCCTGTTATCAGCGTTCGTGTCATGAGGTAAGGCTGAGATTGCCACAAACTGGCGAGTCATCTCCACACTTCAAAATTGGCTTTCCTACGCCGCGAGAGAGGACTCGATTTTGGCTCAGTGTTAGGTACGCTTTCCCTAGCCTTAACATAACTACTCCCATTTATTTACGTCGCTGTCGTGGAAGGTTGTCGTTTTCTCAGCTAGTGTCGGTCGACGTTGAAGGTTATTCCTCGGTCCAGTGACCTTTCTCGGAGACTATTGTATCGTAAATATTAAAATTGAAAGAAGAGAGGAAACATTTGATACTCTCTGTCCCATAATGATTGTTCCATTTTCATACA